GCCAGAACATGACCCCAGCTAGAGACGATCCCAGAGGAAAAACCCTGCAGCTCAAAGTGCATCACAGAGATAGTCCCACCCGGAGGCAAGGAGTTCAGGGCATATCCCCTTGCTAGTTGGCCAAGGTTTCTGGGTGCTCAGGGTGGGTGTGTGGAGCCGACAGGTCCTATCTGCTGAGGGCATTTCTGCAAAGAAAAGGGCAGCTGAAGGGTATGCATGGGGAAGGGGGGTGGTTGGTCACAGGCTCTGGAGGGGCTTAGTAATATCTACTAATAACTACACCCACCTCACACCCTCTGGCTAAAGACATTTTCTTCCTCAATCTTGTCTTAAACTCTTGATATAAGGATTGTGAAACAGATTCTTGGAGACATTTCCTTTTCTTTTTTTCTCTTTTTAAAAAATATTTTTATTGATTTCAGAGAGGAAGAGAGAGGGAGAGAGAGATAGAAACATCAATGATGAGAGAGAATCATTGATTGGCTGCCTCCCACACACCCCACTCTGGGGATCGAGCCTGCAACCCAGGCATGTGCCCTGACTGGGAATTGAACCGTGACCGCCTGGTTCATAGATCGACGCTCAACCACTGAGCCAGGGCAGCCAGGCAGACATCTCCTTTCCAATTACTAATTGGAAGGGGAGTGTCTGTCTCACTTTGGTATCTGACATCTATCATCTTGCCCCCACAATTGGAAAAAAAAAAAGAGTCAGGAAGGTTCCATTCTAACATCCTCTTACCCTGAGGAGTGTTCAGGTGCTTGTTTTACCAGTGACCACAGCGCTCAATGCCTTCATCACTCAGGAAATGAGTGAACTCAAAACCATGTCTAGTTGCTTCCCTAGTAGCTGTGATAGATTTGTGTTCTTCATACTCTTTCTCTCCACAAACCCTGCTTGAGATATGGCTGGTGAGAGGAGAGTGCATTCTCTGTCCACAAAATCGGACATGGTCAACTGGAACAAACCCATGACTTTCCCATAAAAAAGTAAGTGCATTAAGTAAACTGATTAACAAACCGTGAGAACAACTTTCAGAGTATCCATGACCACGCTGGGGCTAATGCAGCTTTTTGCAAACTTCACTGAGGCATTCAGGAGCTGCAAGGGAAAAGACGGGAGAGATGGTGATCCAGTGTGGTGGTGCATAGCTGATGTTCCAAGGAAGCCCTGGTAGGGGTGGGGGAAGGGACATCCACTCCAGAGAAGCCACAGAGGGCTGGAGTTAATCAGGGGTGAGGAGCAATACAGAGAGCTGACCGAATCAGCTGGTTTTCCAGGCCTACTTCCTCCTTTTTGTCCTCTCTTAGACAGCTTCCTGCTTCCTACTAAAAAGATAGGAAATTGTTCATGACCCATTCCTGTCCAGGATCCTCTCTTCACTGAGTCACAAGGATGTTGGAGCTGGACAGGACTCCAGGCATTATCTGGAAAGGTTTCTTGCTTTCACAGAGGAACTGTGACACAGAGGTATTTAGGAAGCACTTGCAGACTGGCAATTCACGGGCCAAACCCGGCCTGCAGTCTTAGTTAGAATAGGAATTAGTTGTAAAGACTGAAAACCCAGGAGATTTTTCACACCCACACACACATCTTCTTTTGGGGAAACTGGAGACCTGGCCTCCAGGTCAAGAAGATGTGGGGGTTCTGGAAATTGGGGAGAGTATAATGACACAGTTTTGTGACAAACCACACTTGGCATCGGAAAGTTCTGGCCTGAGTTAGCAAGGCCCCAGACACAGGGCTGGCAGTCAGCAGTAAGATCCCAGTGCCCGTTTGGAGGAATGGGGCACGGGTCCAAACCAGGCAGAACTGAATCTGGAAAGAAGAGCTGCGGTATCAAGAGACATCTAAGGCCAGAAGAATAGTCTAGGACTCAGTTACGTTGCTGGAACTGGGACCTGAGGTCAGAGCAGAGCTGGGAGGTGGCAGACCTGTTGCAGAGCCACGTGGGCTGGGTAAGTTCCTCCTTGCTGAGCTCCTAGACTCGCAGCGGTTCTCAACCTGTGGGTCACGACCCCTGAAAATACATCCTGCATATCAGATATTTACATTACGATTCATAACAGTAGCAAAATTACAGTTATGAAGTAGCAACGAAGATACTTTTATGGTTGGGGGTCACCACAACATGAGGAACTGTATTAAAGGGTCGCGGCATTAGGAAGGTTGAGAACCACTGTTAGAGCTTAGGGTGGGGCTCCAGGGGTCAGTTAGCTGAGAGCTTAGTGTGGAGAGAGGAGTGTCCCAGGGTCAGGCACCCACCCCAGTGATACATTCCCAGTCAGCCTCCTTTGCCAGGCACCCCCTCGCTACATCTCATTCACCTACAAACTCAACCTTCCCATCATTAGAAAATGGGCTCTGCCCTGAATCTTCACCATGTCTCTCCTCAGGTTCACAAATACCAAAAATGGAACAAAACAAAGGGAGAATTCTGAGAGTTTGTCAGCTTGGCAGCAGGTGGAAAATGAGCCCACGATGCCATCAAGTACCATGTGAAACAACAGTAGGGCTTAATGGGCACTGGGCTTGATGAAATAGGCCCGTTGTACCAAAGGGGGAAATGAAAGTGACAGCGATGGAGACAGGTGGTGAGAGACTTGTCTCTGGACCTACAGATACAGAGCTTTACTGAGATACCTTTAAAGATGACTTTCTTAGGTAATCATGCCTCATGATGTGCTGGCTCTAGTTTCTAGGACATGTTTCCTTTTTTAATTGTGGAAAAGATAAATCATTTGATTTGGGTACAAAATAAACACCAAAAAGGTCAGCCAGGCTGAACGCATAATAATTACCAATATTTTCTGGGTCCTTGCTGAGGGCCAGGTGTCGTGCTAGGTGCTTTAGGTTTCAGTTAATTCTCACAACAAACCCCAGGAGCTAAGCACTGTTATTATCTCTATTTGCATGTGAGGAAACTGAGGCTTAGAAAAGTGAAATAAGTTACCCACGTCCACACCACAGGTGAGAAGTTGAGCCTGATTCAAAGCAGTATAGCCCGTCCCCAGAGGTGCAAGTCCTCACCAGTGGTGCAAGCCCTGATGTGGCCATGTTGCTAGTTGACCGTCCCAGCATCAGTACTAAAGAATTCCAATCGACCAGAGTCATTGATACAGGGCACCGATGGTCCCAATTAATGACTTCCCTTGCCCAGGCCCTTCACAATGAGATTTGTAATTATAACCATGAGGATGGCCAAGCATACTGGAGAACACTTAATCAGTGCTCACTGAGCATTAAGTACTGCGGTAAACCCTTTATGTGGATCCTGGCGTTCATTAGGTTATTCAGTTATTTGTTTATTAATAAATTAGTTATATGGAATTAATAGTAGTTTTCCATTTATGAATATATAAAAACATATGCAGGGTGGGGCACAAGTAGGTTTACAGTTGTGAGTACATAAAACACAGAGTTTATTCTTGCATTTTATGTATTAACGAGAGGCCCGATGCACGAAATTCGTGCAAGGGGCTTGGCCTTCACAGCCCCTCATAGTCCCTCACAGCACCCGCTTCCTCTGGAAGGGGCAGGGTCAGCAGAAGAGGGGGCTGTGCTGTGGGACTCAGGAACTGAGTGCAGGGCTGGCAACTGGCGCAGGGGTGGGGCTGTGGGCTCACCAAGGCCGAAGGGTCCCACTCGCAGCCCCGGCTGCCTTGGCCCCTGCCGCCGCCACAGCAGCTGGCTCTTCCTCGGCCCCCTAGCCCCGGCTTTATCTGGAAGGACATCCGGATGTCCAGAAGGTTGTTCGGCTGTCCGGTCTAATTACCATATTACCCTTTTATTATTATAGATTGTTGTATTATTTTCTATACAAATAACTGTAAGCCTATTCGTGCCCCACCCTGTAGCATATCAGAGGCAGTACTTAGGATTTGTTCGAGTTCTTGTTAGAAGAAGCAGAATAGTCCAAGCAGGGGGGTTGAGGGGCACATTACTCTGAGCTAGGTGGCGGCCACCTCAGAGTCGCTTCTTCCTTCCGCCTCTCCCTCAGCCGCCCTGCTGACCACAGTTCTTGCCTGTCTGCTTCCGACTGGAGGATTTTCTGGATGTGCCACCTGTTTAGGCTACAATTCCTATGGTAGTGTTAGTGGAAACTCTGGAGACTGGAAGTCACGATTGTTCTTCATATTTTAAGTCGGTTTGTCTGAAATGCAGTAGAAAACATAGGAAGCTTTAAACATTTGTAGGCTTCCACCCAGCAAATCCACACTTAGGAGTTTGTCTTTAAGCAATAAGTGAATAAGCATATAAAAATGTTTGTCCAAGTGCTTTTAAAAATAGGCAACAACCTAATTTTCCAAAATAGAAGACCATTGGAGATTTTCCCAAAGTGTGTTATTCAGAAAATTAATTTTTGAAAATTGTCTTTAAAGGCTGGAGGAGAAGTTGGGGAATCCTTAGTTTATTAAATTACATGTAACCTTTATTTTTTTTTAATCCTCACCTGAGGATATGTTTTATTGATTTTAGAGTAAGAGAAACATCAATGTGAGAGAGAAACATTGATTGGTGGCCTCCTATATGCTTCCTGACCAGGGATTGAACCTGCAACCTAGGTATGTACTCTGACCTGGAATTGAACCCATGACCCTTCGGTGCACAGGACAGTGCTCCAACCAACTGAGCCACTCAGCCAGGGCAACATGTAACATTTTTATGGGGATTTGTTGTTTTGTTTATAGTCCTTGGGAGTCCTGGCTTACCAAGGGCAGGGGAGAGGAGGGACAGTCCTCCACAGGTGCAGGTGATAAAGGAGGAGTACATTTTCTGTACAGCAGCTAATAAGAATAATAATTTGAATAATAAATTTAAAAGGTTGGTCTGCTTTTTCTTATCATGTGCAGGCAACTCTGAGCAATACCAAGTGAGAAAATAATTGCTGTGGTAAGTGTGGAGTTTAAATAAATATGTGTAAGCTTCATATTAGCATACTAGAGGCCTGGTGCACGAATTTGCGCACAGGTGGGGTCCCTCGGCCTGACCAGTGATCGAGGCCTATCAAGGGGCCGGCTGGCCAGGGGGAGGGGCCACGGGAGGTTGGCCAGCCAGGGACAGGGACTGAGGGAGGTTGGCCGGCCACCCCCCCCACCCCCGATTAGGGGCAATTGGGGGGGGCCTGACAGCTGGGGGGAGGGGCTGCTGGAGGTTGGCTGTGGGAGTGCACTGATCACTAGGGGGCAGCTCCTACATTGAGTGTCTGTCCCCTGGTGGTCAGTATTCATCATAATGACTGGTCAACCAGTCATTCTGGTTGTTCCAGTCGTTCAGTCATAACAGTCGCTTAGGCTTTTATATATATATAGATTTTGTTGTTATTCTTTAATAAACATTGTATTTTATCTGGAAGTTAATTTGGGGAACTCACAGTTATGCAATGGCTGCCTCTCTCCATCTCCCATCCCATCTCCTACCATGTGAGCCCCCTCACAAACACAGACTCAGCCACAAAGAATCTTGTGAGAATGAATCCCTAACATTCAGAAACATTCAAACTCCCTTCAGGTTCAGTTTGTGTCTCCAACCCCTTTGGTACTACATGTTTCCTCATTTAAACAAGTGGCTCTGAAATAAACTATCATAGGCAGTAACTTTAAAAACAAAGAAACTAAAATTGCCTTACTTCAGTTCTAACATTCTCTATGCCACTCTGAGTTGTCTATTTCTTTTTTATTTTTTATTTTATTGATTTTTTACAGAGAGGAAGGGAGAGAGATAGAGAGTTAGAAACATTGATGAGAGAGTAACATCGATCAGCTGCCTCCTGCACACCTCCTACTGGCGATGTGCCTGCAACTAAGGTACATGCTCTTGACCGGAATCGAACCTGGGACCTTTCAGTCCACAGGTCGATGCTCTGTCCACCGAGCCAAACCAGTTAAGGCTGAGTTGTCTATTTCTATTTTAAGTAGTGATGAAAAGTGCAAAATGCAAGGTGTGTTATTTCTGTTAAGTGTAAATTTTAGTTCATGCATGAAATAGTTTAGTGAATCTAAAGTAGTATTTTTAAAATTGACATTTATTCTTTTAAAATTATGGTTTGTTTTAAACCTCAAAAAAATCAAGAAAAGAATGAATATTCCTGATTATTACAT